AATATGAAATAAATTCGAGGTGAAAATCGCTAAAATAATCGTCTAAATTGTCTTGCTCTCCAATGACTGTTTTTCCCGCTTCTTCGTCTTCCTGCTCCCCTTCCTATTTGTCAGGAACTTGTTTTTGTTTTCATCTTGCGGAAAAGTGTGCCAGCTATTGAAAGGGTGGGGAGAGAAGCAGTGTGCTAGGGGAGGATCTGGTGTCGAGAGGAATTTCAGTGCCAAGGAAAACACTTTAGTCCTTCATTTAATCGTTCAGAAAATGACGCGGTCATCTGGTGAGTAAGCAATGTTTGCCGCCTCTTCTCATTCTCTCGGCCACTCGCTCACGCTTCCCTCCTTCTCGTACCTCTATACCTCTCGCTTTTCTCCCTTCTATCTATCTCGCTCTCACACCTGCACTCCTACCCCTCACTTGTCAAGCTTCATATTTAACACCTCCCCCACCCGACCAATTTTGATTTGTCGTTTTCTTTCCATTCCGAGATGGCTCAGTTTTTTTTTTCATTTCCGCCTCTTTTATATTTTCCCTTTTCTTTATTCGTTTTTCATTCGTTATTTTTTTTCAGTTTGTTTGTTTTTTACGTTCTTTATATCTTTTTCTTTCTTCTTTTTTTTCGTTCCTTTTTTATACATTTTTTCATTTATTTCGCTTCCTATACTCTTTCTTGTTTTTTTCTTTTCATTTTTTTTTCTATATATCTTGTTCATCTTTCTTCCCAGCTTCCTTCTTGCTTTTTCATATTCACATATTTTATTTTCTATTCCTTTTTAAATTTTTCTTCTTCTTCTTCTTCTTCTTCTTCTTCTTCTTCTTCTTCTCTTTCATTCTTTCTTCCACTTTCTTCTGTTTGACTATCTGTCTTTTTTTCTCTTCTGTCCGACTTTCTTTCTTTTTTCTTTCTTTCTTTTGTCTTCCATGCATTCTTTCTTTCTTTCTTTTTTCTTTCTTTCTTTCTTTTTTTGTCTGCCTTGTATTCTTTTTTCTTTCTATCTATCAGCACTTTCTTTCTTTCTTTCTTTCTTTCTTTTTTTCTTTCTTTCTTCCTTTCTTCCAACACTTACTTAGCTTTTTTTTTTCTTTCAATACTTTCTTTCTTTCTTTCTTTCTTTCTTTCTTTCTTCCTACACTTACTTAGCTTCTTTCTTTCTTTCTTTCTTTCTTTCTATCTTTCTTTCTTTCTTTCTCCCAACACTTACTTAGATTTTTTCTTTCTTTCTTTCTTTCTTTCTTTCTTTCTTTTTCTTTCTTTCTTTCTTTCTCCCAACACTTACTTAGTATCTTTCTTACTTTCTTTCTTTCTTTCTTTCTTTCTTTCTCCCAACACTTACTTAGTATCTTTCTTTCTTTCTTTCTTTCTTTCTTTCTTTCTTTCTTTCTTTCTTTCTCCCAACACTTACTTAGTATCTTTCTTTCTTTCTTTCTTTCTTTCTTTCTTTCTTTCTTTCTTTCTTTCTCCCAACACTTACTTAGCTTCTTTCTTTCTTTCTTTCTTTCTTTCAACACTTTCTTTCTTTCTCCCAACACTTACTTAGTATTTTTCTTTCTTTTTTTCTTTCTTTCTTTCTTTTTTTCTTTCTTTCTTTCTTTCTTCCTACACTTATTTTTAGCTTCTTTCTTTCTTTCTTTCTTTCTTTCTCCCAACACTTACTTAGATTTTTTTTCTTTCTTTTCTTTCTTTCTTTCTTTCTTTCTTTCTTTCTTTCTTTTTTCTTTCTCCCAACACTTACTTTTTGTATCTTTCTTTCTTTCTTTCTTTTCTTTCTTTCTTTCTTTCAAAAATTTCTTTCATTCTTTCTTTCTTTCTTTCAAGAATTTCTTTCATTCTTTCTTTCTTTCTTTCTTTCTTTCTTTCTTTCTTTCTTTCTTTCTTTCTTTCTTTTCCCAACACTTACTTAGCTTCTTTCTTTCTTTCTTTCTTTCTTTCAACAATTTCTTTCATTCTTTCTTTCTTTCTTTCAAGAATTTCAAGAATTTCTTTCTTTCTTTCTTTCTTTCTTTCTTTCTTTCTTTCTTTCTTTCTTTCTTTTTCCCAACACTTACTTAGCTTCTTTCTTTCTTTCTTTCTTTCTTTCTTTCTTTCATTCTTTCTTTCTTTCTTTCAAGAATTTCTTTCATTCTTTCTTTCTTTCTTTCGTTCTTTCTTTCTTTCTTTCTTTCTTTCTTTCTTTCTTTCTTTCAACACTTTCTTTCTCCCAACACTTACTTAGCTTCTTTCTTTCTTTCTTTCTTTCAACAATTTCTTTCATTCTTTCTTTCTTTCTTTCAAGAATTTCTTTCATTCTTTCTTTCTTTCTTTCTTTCTTTCTTTCTCCCAACACTTACTTAGATTTTTTCTTTCTTTCTTTCTTTCTTTCTTATTTTCTTTCTTTCTTTCTTTCTCCCAACACTTACTTTGTATCTTTCTTTCTTTCTTTCTTTCTTTCTTTCTTTCAAAAATTTCTTTCATTCTTTCTTTCTTTCTTTCAACAATTTCTTTCATTCTTTCTTTCTTTCTTTCTTTCTTTCTTTCTTTCTTTCTTTCTTTCTTTCTCCCAACACTTACTTAGCTTCTTTCTTTCTTTCTTTCTTTCTTTCAACAATTTCTTTCATTCTTTCTTTCTTTCTTTCAAGAATTTCTTTCATTCTTTCTTTCTTTCTTTCTTTCTTTCTTTCTTTCTTTCTCCCAACACTTACTTAGCTTCTTTCTTTCTTTCTTTCTTTCTTTCAACAATTTCTTTCATTCTTTCTTTCTTTCTTTCTTTCAACAATTTCTTTCATTCTTTCTTTCTTTCTTTCTTTCTCCCAACACTTACTTAGCTTCTTTCTTTCTTTCTTTCTTTCTTTCTTTCTTTCTTTCAACAATTTCTTTCATTCTTTCTTTCTTTCTTTCAAGAATTTCTTTCATTCTTTCTTTCTTTCTTTCTTTATTTCTTTCTTTCTCCCAACACTTACTTAGCTTCTTTCTTTCTTTCTTTCTTTCTTTCTTTCTTTCTTTCTTTCTTTCTTTCTTTCAACAATATCTTTCTTTCTTTCTACGATGTCACTTCTTTCCTTTTTCTTTCTTTCTTTCTTTCTTTCTTTCTTTCTTTCTTTCTTTCTTTCTCCCAACACTTACTTAGCTTCTTTCTTTCTTTCTTTCTTTCTTTCTTTCAACAATTTCTTTCATTCTTTCTTTCTTTCTTTCAAGAATTTCTTTCATTCTTTCTTTCTTTTTTTCTTTCTTTCTTTCTTTCTTTCAACACTTTCTTTCAACACTTTCTTTCTCCCAACACTTACTTAGTATCTTTCTTTCTTTCTTTCTTTCTTTCTTTTTTTCTTTCTTTCTTTCTTTCTTTCTTTCTCCCAACACTTACTTAGCTTCTTTCTTTCTTTCTTTCTTTCTTTCAACACTTTCTTTCTTTCTCCCAACACTTACTTAGTATTTTTCTTTCTTTTTTTCTTTCTTTCTTTCTTTTTTTCTTTCTTTCTTTCTTTCTTCCTACACTTACTTAGCTTCTTTCTTTCTTTCTTTCTTTCTTTCTCCCAACACTTACTTAGATTTTTTCTTTCTTTCTTTCTTTCTTTCTTTCTTTCTTTCTTTCTTTCTTTCTTTCTCCCAACACTTACTTTGTATCTTTCTTTCTTTCTTTCTTTCTTTCTTTCTTTCTTTCAAAAATTTCTTTCATTCTTTCTTTCTTTCTTTCAAGAATTTCTTTCATTCTTTCTTTCTTTCTTTCTTTCTTTCTTTCATTCTTTCTTTCTTTCATTCTTTCTTTCTTTCTTTCTCCCAACACTTACTTAGCTTCTTTCTTTCTTTCTTTCTTTCTTTCTTTCAACAATTTCTTTCATTCTTTCTTTCTTTCTTTCAAGAATTTCTTTCATTCTTTCTTTCTTTCTTTCTTTCTTTCTTTCTTTCTCCCAACACTTACTTAGCTTCTTTCTTTCTTTCTTTCTTTCTTTCAACAATTTCTTTCATTCTTTCTTTCTTTCTTTCTTTCAACAATTTCTTTCATTCTTTCTTTCTTTCTTTCTTTCTCCCAACACTTACTTAGCTTCTTTCTTTCTTTCTTTCTTTCTTTCTTTCTTTCTTTCTTTCTTTCTTTCAACAATTTCTTTCATTCTTTCTTTCTTTCTTTCAAGAATTTCTTTCATTCTTTCTTTCTTTCTTTCTTTATTTCTTTCTTTCTCCCAACACTTACTTAGCTTCTTTCTTTCTTTCTTTCTTTCTTTCTTTCTTTCTTTCTTTCTTTCTTTCTTTCAACAATTTCTTTCATTCTTTCTTTCTTTCTTTCAAGAATTTCTTTCTTTCTTTCTTTCTTTCTTTCTTTCTTTCTTTCTTTCTTTCTTTCTTTCTCCCAACACTTACTTAGCTTCTTTCTTTCTTTCTTTCTTTCTTTCTTTCAACAATTTCTTTCATTCTTTCTTTCTTTCTTTCAAGAATTTCTTTCATTCTTTCTTTCTTTCTTTCTTTCTTTCTTTCTTTCTTTCAACACTTTCTTTCAACACTTTCTTTCTCCCAACAATTACTTAGCTTCTTTCTTTCTTTCTTTCTTTCTTTCTTTTTTTCTTTCTTCCAACACTTACACCTACCCTAAAAGAAGAATATTTTTTAATTTGAGATATTTATCTCATATATACGAATGAGAGTTATGTCATTGGTGAACGTCTGTTTCCAAACTCTGAATGACTTTCTCTAACAAAAAATCAAAACCAGCGTCACTTGTTTGACTCTTGAACTTTCCAATTTGAGAACTTTTCGTTGTAATTAAAAAACGAAGAAAAAGCAAGTACAGACATTTAATACATCATGAAATGGACAAAGTCCGACAATTATTAAAGACATTTTTTTATGTTTATACGTTCTTTTTATAGATACAAATATTTAAGTAAATGTTCTGTTTATAATAAACAGTATTAAATAACATTTACTGGCCTGAATGTCCGAGAAATTTTCATAGAAAATACACGTCCTCCGGCAGGAATCGAACCTGTATCCTATAAACAGAGCATTTACTTAAATATTTGTATCTATAAAAAGAACGTATAGACATAAAAAATGCCTTAAACATACATTTATCTGTTAATTATTTTAACACATCGTAGAAAATGTTTCACCAAAATATGAAAAAAAGGTCCATTTGAATAGTGAAAGAGGCCTTCCAAAAGCTAAGCAAACGAATAAATTTTGTTCAAAACAAAGAAAAGATCAGTCTTTCCATGGTGGTCAATGCTGGACAATCTCCTCACAGATGAAAAAGGAGACTTAAGCCAACAGATGTCATTCTATAGAAGGATACTGAGAATATCAGAGATTGAAAATTAAAGATAAGGTTTTAAGAAAAAAAAACGAACAAAAGATGCAATAGAAAAAAATTTCTGGGACACATAATAAGGAAAGAAGGCTTGGAGAGTTTGACACTCACATGCCATATTGAAGGTTAGATAGGAAGCGAGAAAGAGACAGTAAACAAAGATGGAACTCGAAGGAGAGCAAGGAGATAAACATTACTTAAAACTAAAACAAATCGAATAAGCTGTGATCATCCATGTCCTGAAGGAATAGAGTACCTAAAATAAGCAGCTGTTCGATATTGGAATGTTTAGGAAAAAAACTGAAAGCTTTTAAGTCTAAAGAAGAATTTAAACGATTCAAACGAAATCAATTTTTGAAATGTGCAATAAAAATGGGGAGTTGGATTATATGGGTTCGCCTACTATCCGGTTCACACTCCTCCCGTTCTTTTGAACAGCAGTAGAGGTTTATCCCTTGTTCTCTGTTTAGTATTGAGTTTCCGGCTCCTTATAAAGTCTATTTCAATTCTATACTTCTGACGTCTGCGCCTGATTTCTAAAAGTTTACTAGCCCCCACCCCAAGAATAGATGTGGCACAAGGCCGTGTTTAACGTGGATTATCCGAGCCCGTAGGATCAGCCAAATATTCCCCGTAGAACCCGCATAAACGGTTCGGGTGTGTCTAACTCCCCGGATGAAGCTCTACCGAAGGCAGAAAGTTCAACAGCATAGCTGGAACAGATCCTAGCTAGTAATATTTACCAGCCTCCCCAGCGAGACTCTGCCCTTCGACATAGCCTTGTCCGGGTTCCTTTTTGCCCGAAATCAGAGAGTTCGACAGCAGCTAAGAGCCGAGGAACATATCCCAGCTAACCGAGCCACGCGATGTGGCACAGGGCCGAATTTAATGTGGGTTATCCGAGCCCGTAGAATCAGCCAAAAATTCCCCATATAAAACGGGGTCGAGTAGCTTGTTTACCGAGACGAGACTCTACCATTCGACATAGCCTCGTCTGGGGTTCCTCTCTGTCCGGAAGTAGATATTTTGACCAGCACAGCTGTAACAGATCCCAGTTAATCGGTATTTACTAGCCCCCACCACTAGGGTAGATGAGGGACAAGGCCGAGTTTAACGTCGGGATTCCGAGCCCGTAGGCTCGGCCCAAAATATTCCCTTCGAACCCGTATAAATGGGTTCAGGGCCAGTCTACCTCCCCGAACGAGACTCTGCCCTTCGGCAGAGCCTCGTCCGGGCTACTCTCTGCCCGAAAGCAGAGAGTTCGACAGCAGCTAAGTGCTGAGGAAGAGATCCCAGCTAGTATATTTACTAACCGACCCACGCGATCAAATGTGGCACTGGACCAAATTTAATGTGGGGTATCCGAGCCCGTAGTCTCAGCCAAAAATTACCCGTATAAAACGGGGTCGAGTAGCTTGTTTCCCGAGACGAGAATATGTTCAGGACCAGTCTACCTCCCCGAACGAGACTCTGCCCTTCGGCATAGCCTCGTCCGGGTTACTCTCTGCCCGAACAGCTGGAACAGATCTCATTTAGTCTTTGTAGCCCGTTGACTTACAGATACTTAAAGGCAGTTACTACCTATAGTGTAGTCACGTATAGAGATGACAAGTTATTCCATTACATCACTGAATAAAATATAACGTTATGTGTGAGAGTTTGAAGCCGTGTTGATTTCAGTTGTGATCTACAGACGAGGATACATTTATAAATAGCATGTCTTTATCACCACAGTCTAAATTTCCTATTTTGTACTCCTCACTGTTTTGGTCTTAATCGACTGCGTTTCTTTTAGACTAATATTAAATGTGATACATTTCTTGCTTCAGTGCCTTCCACGGAACCATACCATAATTTGAGAATCTCTAAGAAATCCTTTTCTCCCTTCAGATTTAATTTCAGACATGTGTTATCTGTGTTCGTCTTGTCTGATTTCTCGATCAGCCAAAACTCAGGAATTAGCTTTAAATCGAATTTGGGGTCTGCCATCGTCCGTCAATCACCGAAATAGCTTGGGGTTCGTCTTGTCTGATTTTCGCACGTTGAGAACGCTCCGGTATTTACCCGAGCTCCTCAAAGATCGGGATGTGGCAGAAGGCCGGTTTTACGTGGGTTTTTTTCGGAGCCCGTAGACTCGGGCAAAAATTCCCTCGTAATAACGAGTTCGGGTTTGTCTACCTACCCAGACGAGACTCTGCCCTTCGGCACAGCCTCGTCTGGGTTCCTCTCTGTCCGAAGGCACAGTTCGACAAGCGCTAATCGCTTAGCACGCGGCTAATGCTGACTCTCACGTTGAGAACGCTTCAGAAAAAAAAATGGTGTTATATAGCTCTCCCAGTCCCAGAACCACGCTAACTATTGGTTAATACCTGCACAGTATTGTTCATATGCAAATAGTCAGCGCCACCTACTTTAAGTAGAAGGTCTTCTCTCAACAGCCCATTGTGGAAGGGGACACAACTCTCCTGATGCTTATAGCAACACATACAACCAACTCAGTCTTTTATTAGGCTGACCCGATTCTCT